GGTTCCAAATCCCTTAGAGTTCAGCTGAGGCTCCCTACTGGATGCAAAAGGTCGAGTATGTCGAGCTTGGGACAGCAAGTCGGTAAGCACAAGGGCAGATATGAGCTGTACCTGGACCCCAAAAGTATATATGTAAAACAATGGCCTTTATGGCTATTCTTATGGATTTAGGGCTATTATTCTACATACTTTTGGGGGTTTAGGTAGTCCAAATTCCTCAAAGGGGGTTATTCAGGGGATTCTGGGGGTTCCTATTATGGGGCTTACTAAGGGGGGGCGGTGGGAGTTCAGACCCTAGACCCTATAATTCCCCCTTAAGTAGATATTCTATGGCTTTGGGTATATTGTAATAGGATCCCCATGTACCCCATATTCCATCTACTGTAACAGGGTTTTTGTCTAAACCCTAATCCCTAAACCTAAACCCCATATTCAAACGACTAAAGGAGACTATAAGCCTTAAACCCTAATCCCTAGACGCTAAGAGCTGGACAAATTACGTTTACCCGGAACCTACCTCGTGCAGGGCAGTGGGTGAGGCTAGGTACCCCAGTAGTACCTTTTTTCCTTTTCTTGTTTTTGTTTCTAAAATTTTGGGTCTCCATATTAAAGCTGAAGATGACGAACAAGGGCACCCTTGTTATTAATGGGTTACTGGGGAACCTGGTTGGTTGACTCGGCTGCTTTCAGGTTCCTGGCGTCTTTCGAAAATCTACATTAGGTTGCACAAATACGTACATTCTGCGTGACGGGCCGGGATTGAATGGGGTTTTGACGGTTTTGTCGCGTATTATACGAAAACCGCGTACGGACTTTATAGGGGATATAGTATTCCGGGTTATCAGTAACCCAAAGCCTTTGAAGCCAACAAGCTGGTGGTGTTTGGAACGGTATTCAAAATCAAGCTTCCGTAGGGGTGCGAAGAAATGTAAGGTCAGCGGCATTTTGGATAAGTTTTGTTCAACCAGGAACCTGCAAGTGGAAGTTCCCTGGACATGGTTTTTAACAGTGTTTCCGATAGTCCTAAAAACAAGCAGGAGGGATAATTAGAAATAGTGCTCCAGGGAACTTATTGGCAACCCTAGCTATTGGGCCGCTGAGGACCAAGGATACACTGTCGACATCTTGATGATTGATTCCAATATTGAAGATGCAGACGAGGATGTGCCGCTGTGCCGCAACGTCAGAAGGTGCACGGTGTAGTGCCTCGCGTATGAGGCATCTGAGCCAAGGTAACAAAAGGGGGCTTTGTATTGGCTGTGATTTGTTCGAAGTGTTTCTGCTTGAAATACCAGCACCGAACTTCAAGTGCGGAGGTCAAACAGCCAACAATGCCCTGGAAGTCCTTTGGCCCCCAGCCCTTGCTTCGCAAAGGTGGAGGTCAACTAGCTGATAGGGTGCAGCAGTTGATCAAGCACGTGTACGGTTAGCACTGAGAGCCAAGTCCTTACAGAACCCTACACTGTAAACCCTCCCTAGACGCTTTCTTTAGTACGCCAATGTGCTCGCGGCAAGAAGTTGATGCTTCCACCGGGGAGTCCTGCCCACAGCCCGGGAAAGAGAGGACTTAGCAACTAGGGGTACATTTGGGGGGTCCCTAGATTGACTTCCATACGGCAATTTCTCGGGGGGCTTAGGACCTGCCCTACAGGCTTACTTGCCCTAAACCCATGTGGGGCTTGTTCGAAGGCTCCTCGTTGCGAAGGGACCAGTGGGAATGGGATCCTAACCAAACTGGGAACCTACGTTGTGGCCTTTTTGATGGGCAATTTGAACAACTACCATGCGTTCTGGGGAACCTATAGGCGTCAGTAGCCAGACAGAGGCTCGCAAGGTTTACCATCTGCACGGCCCCTTACGTAGGTGAGCAGAGGTTCGACTTATGTTTTCTTTATAGACGCATCTCAGATTTAAAGTAGGGGCCTAAACAATTGCGAATATTTTGTTAGTAGATTCCTCGGTATGGAGTATTTGAATCAATCCTCGAAATGGTCTTGGGAATTATCTAGGCCCCTGCACTATGTAGAAAGATTCTGCGAAGCTGGGGTTCGGGCGCTGTAGGGTTCAGGGTACAGGGCAAGTTGAATTCAATAGCCTAGCTGTCCCAGCCCAGGCATACCTCCTGTTTTTTCGACTGGGGCTCACGGGAGTTTAGCCTGAGCCACGAAGCAAACCAACAACACGAAGCCACTCCAACAACACCAAGCCACTTACCCCTCTGATTCCGAGCCTTGAAGTGGATCCCAGGAATTCCAATCCAGAGCACAACATCTGCGGGGCTGCTCATAACCCTAAGGGCTCATCATGTGCCACTTGGCTCATCTCTGCGCTTGTCTCTGAGAATTTGTTTAGGGGGGTATACTGTTTGAGGGCTGATAGGGTTTATGGCGTTTTTAGGGTAGAGATGTTTCACTGCAAAATTGACACCTACGAGTTTGGAAGGCTTGTTATCCTATAATCCCAATTTGCTATAGTAGTTTCCATTGTCTTTTTCATTATCCCTATGTAATCCCAAATTTTACTCTTACATGAAAGCTTAAGCCCTAATATACTCCCGGGTTATCCGGCTTCTCAGCCTTTCCGCCCAACACTTGCCAACCGCTTCAAAGACGGAGGTCATCACGGTGCCTGATTGTTCAGGGGTTTAGGGTTTAGGGTTTAGAGCCCAACTAGTAGAGATGGGCTCTTCAATGACAGGCTATGTTCAAGCCTGGCCAAAGTCTTGGGTAGTCAATCCCCAAGTCCCCAAACACAACAAAACCCCTTAGCTCCCTTCCCTCTTCGTTGGACTCTCAATCCTCAACCCTATACCTCTAACTGGGGTTGCCCAGATTTTGATCCCAATTTAGATGCCGTATTAGACATTAGGGGCGGTACCATTCTTCGGAACCAAAAAAAAGATCATACAAGTGGCAACATACCAAATCCTCCCGAGCAACCATTTTTTGAAGGCAAAAGTCGGAGGCCCTTCCAGCCGCCTGACAGCAAGGGCTGGCTACAAACAGGTTCATAGCTGTTGAAGGTTTTGTCGCTTGGAGTGTCAGTGGGGCTCAGTAAGTGTGTGAAAATCGGAATGACAAAGCGCAGTATGCTGTCTTTCGGGGGTTGTGAGTATACTTTCTGCACCAACCCTGACCCCTCCGAAGTAGGGCTTAGGGTTTACGGTGCCTGCAGCTCGCTGTTCAAGTTCGCTCTAAGTTTCAGGGATGAAGGTTGGGACGTGGGTATATGGCTGAGAGGATCTGAGGTCGAAACACCGTGTTCTCAAATTCAAATGGCAGATGACTGTCATTTGGGATGATGTTTTTTGAGTTATATAGTCCCCCTAAAGTAGATAGAATATGGCTTTGGGTATGTTATATATCCCATATTCTATCTACTTACGGGGATATACCTTGTGCAATCTTGAATCGTTCAAACTTGAAAGGCCGAAGCTTCGATACAGGCCTTTGAAGGCTAGAAGCAGAGCCCCCAGTCAGTAGCTTCCATTTTCTTTTCCATTATCCCTATACTAACCCCTATACATACTCTATAATGTTAACGTTACATTAATAAACCCCCCCC